CATGTAGAGGCAAATTCCCAACAATGAATGTAACTGTACTGTATCCCTAAAATGTACCAATAAACTCAATTAAAGCTGAAAAAAAAAAAAAGTAAGAAGGTCGGGAGAGTAATTCAGTTGACAAAACTGTGGATTTTATTTTTCAGACTATTAGAACCCAACAAGTAAAAGCTAAACTTTGGTACCAAGTTGAATATTGAAAATGTTTAACTCAAAACTGACCTGGCTATCTCCTCACGATGAGCAGTCCAATCTCGGATGTAGTCTTCTTGCTCTTTGATCCGGTGCTTGAACGAGGAGGAACTAGTAGGCATTGCTGACCCAGAGCTCTGCAAGCGAGTGGTTTTCAGGGCTGGAGAAGTACGCAGACGGGTATGTTTAGGGGAATTACGGTTTGATCCAAATTCATCTTCTGAGGTGGAAGCATAATCAGTAGGAAAGCGCCTCCATCTTGCATTTACTAAATTAGTTTAATTATTAAAAAAAGAATTATTATGTTATCTTTTAAAGGAGATAAAATAAAAATCACGATTTCAAAACACCATGAGAGTGCACACACAATTTTCAATAACTGACACATATACCTCACAAAAACTATCAGTCTACTTCTCCTAAATATAGAAACATTACACTTTGGTGATTAAAAACAATGAATAATTAAAAACAATTGAAGGACCGTGTTATCCATAGTGTAGTGAATAAACATTCAGATGAAAAATTTCACTAATGATAAACTATGCAAGCTCTATTCAGAAATGTTTAACTTGGGCATTTTTCAATTGCAAATATTTCTCATTTGAGTGAAGATATGGATTTTCTAAAAAAGACAGCAACACCACCAACAACAACAAAAAATAAAAACAGGGGAAAAGATTTCCTCATGCCACATGGACTTTCAACATGGAGATGGTAAAAACCCTCTTTTCCCAACATACAAATGTGCATAATTCCTGCTGTGGAAATTATGCCTCTATGGCAGGAAAAAAAAAAAACCAAAAAACATTACCTCTGTCATTCAACATCCTGTTATGCTATGGTTGGAAAAAATCTTTTTACATGGTAAAAAACACAACAAAGCATCCTCAATACAACACTGCTGCTTTGACACTGAAAGCATATGGTGAAAATAGACAATGGCATAAAATTTACAAAGAGCAAAACTACAAGCTATTCTCACAACCATTAACATATAAGGCACAGGAGATACTGTAATTGATCACATTAAAGTGGTGATTACTTTCTTATTTAAGGTTAGTAAAAACATTTAAAAATGGTATTGCTAACACATTTGAAGTCAGAAGACAAATTAATGCAGACACTTGACTACTGCTGTTAATATGAGAATCAAACATACAAATAATTTGTGAAGTATAAATAGAAAAGATCAGATAATGATAAACTTCATAAGGGTCAGAGCCATACCTGTTAAATCCACTAATCAACACCTAGCAAAGTGTCTGGCTAGGAAAAGTTTAGTATTTTTGAATAAATGAATTAATTCCTGGGAACAAAATGTTTGACTTTTTTCTCAAATAGTAAAAAGCAGATGTTTTTGCTATTTATAGTGATGAAATCTTAGCATCTGCTGAGTTCCAACTGTAATACTAGAAGAGTCTGAGTGTTCTTTCTTCTTTTCGTGCTCATTTTCTCTAATAGAAACTGATGTAATTGGTACAGATTGATGAAATTTAGAGCTCCCTCATCCTTCCCCATAGAATTTTACATTCTTCCAGTTTTTTTCCTTCAAAAACTGCATTTTTGCCTAAGGCTGGCAAAGGCTGAAGTGGCTTTTACACAAAACTGACACACACTGCCACCAGAGTTGGCTTAAGAAACAGAGAAATCTATTGTAAGGAATATGCCATAAACTAGAGCCTACACACTTGTTCTGATTCATCTCTTATTCTGAACTCCTGGGGGTTTTCAATCTAGATTCTTGAGTGCAAGAGAATGGATATGCGCAGAAAGCTCATGGCCCTCTTGTAAAAATCTACAGAAATACACATATAGAATTCTAGGTAATCAGTTTTTTTTTAAACATGGGACTTAGCCAGGGATTTAGCTCAGTGGTTCTGCCGCCTGCCTTGCAAGCACAAGGGCCTGAGTTCGATCCCTGGTACCAAACAATAAATAAAAAGTAAAAATAAATAAAAATAAAACATGAGGCTTAAATACAGTTTCTCTGATTTTAACACTGTAATATAATTTCTCAACATAGATAATGCTTTACCATGGTGGAATTTTACTCATTTCTAAACATATGAAAACTTCCACAAACTGAAATTACTCTGCAACTTGAAAGTAATTTTATACAAAGTCTGAAGAGCAAAAATGTTTAAAAAAGTTAATTTTGATATTTTGTACTAGAAGTAATAAAAAAGAAAAAGGTTATCTTAGCTCAAATTTCCTATTTTTTTGTGAGGAAACTATGGTCACCACACACGTATTAGAAAACTGGACAGAAAGTAAAACCAGTAACTTAAAGTTTTAATTAACTGCAGAAAAAACAAAAACACCTGCCAATATTACGAAACTAAGAATTCAGATGTAATTTTTTAAGAATGGCATTAACCACTGGTATATTTCACGAGCGGCACAGTATAATATATAAAAGCAGAATATGACACTGAGTACAGAGTACTATTAATGTGTGATAAATATCAAATAACAATATGTAAGTAGATTCATATTACAATTAAGGTTTAATAGTCTGAGTCACCAGAGTATAAAATAATTAATTTTGAGGAATATCAGAAAAAAATCCTCCTTTGCACAAAATTTCTATCTATTTTTATAGGTGTATTTAGAAGTAAGAATACTAAAGCTTCTAATAATAACCTTTAAAAAGCAATCAAAAGAATAAAGTATATTTTAAAAACTGGAAGACAGGGCTGGGGATTTAGCTCAGTGGTTCTGCTACTGCCTTGCAAGTGCAAGGTCCCGAGTTCAACCCCTAGTACCACAAAAAAAAACAAAAAAAACAAAAAAAAACACACTGGAAGATAACATCTTTAGGTTTGTTCCTTAAAACCGAGGGCCAAAAAGAGGGTAATATGAGTATAAAAAGGCAGAAAAATGAAAACATAACAAATCATCAGTTACTAAAGAATCATCATTATAAATGGAAGGCACTATGAAGAAAAGCTCACATTACCTCTGTATTCCACTTAAACCTCAGCCTGAGTAACAACAGAACAGACCACGTCAAATGGCTACTGTGGAAAGGGACTGGGAAAGTGGGTTTTATGCCAGGACCACTACAGACTGGCAGTATTTATCAAAGTAATTCTTTAAAACTGTTTGCTATCTTTAACCTTTGCTTCCAAACTATTAGCAGCTACACATTCTATCTGAAGAAAATTCCTCACAACCTGCTAATTAATACAGAGGTAAGTTCAAATTACAGTACAATGTTTTGAATTTTCCCCCAAACATACAAATTTTAGAATAATCTTAGGCAATAGACTGTCTAAATGCTTCAATTTGTAGAGAAAAAACGGACCAAGAGATATCTTGCCTTGCTTATGTTAAAGTATAAATTCAGTCTACTGACTTTCAGAGCTCAAATCCACTCTTTGCTCTTCTAAGTCTTCTACAATTATCAGAAAGGATTTCTTTCCACTTCTAATAGAGCTATTTTATTTTTATTTATTTTAAAATTTTTGTCAATGTAATACAAGTAGATACTAATAAAGAAAATGCTTTTTTAAAAAAGTCTGAAAAAGCAAAATTTCATAACAAATTAAAGACATCTTCAACTTCTCATGGAATGAGATTTTCTTATTTCTACCTATCTTGAGAATAATTTTCTTTCTCTTAAAATTTATTCTCCTTAAATAACAATTTATAGAAATCAATTTCATTTTAAATAATTAGGCTTATTTGACAGATAGACATTACTAAGGCATTTAATGACATTACTGAATTTAAATTTTGTACTGAAGTTGTTTAAAATACCAATCTCTAAAGGGCTTATTAGTTGGTAAAGTGCTTGGTAGCACATACATTAAAATGAGAGAAAGTCTCAAGATAGCCTTAATTTTGTAGCTCATCTGAAACGTAGTTACAATATTAATTATAAAATTTACGTTAGTTATAAAATGCATAACACTCCCTCTTGTGGAAGTAATAAACTATTATATTCACCATAAAACACACTATCGCCCACAATGTCTAGAGAATTAAAAGGAAAAAAAAATACTCATATCCTACATGTCAGTGTTTGATTTCTTGTAAGTAAAATTTTATTCATTTTAAAACTATTATGACTTCAGATTTAGCACTGCATGTTCATACTACATGAGAATACTGTAGTGGGAAAGTAAACTACAAGCAAATTTTGCATGTAGTTGAGCTCTTATGTATATATAAACATAGAGCAGTAAGATCACTTGAGGGACATATCCCTGACAATGCTCTGCTTTGGCTTTTAACCTGGACGGAGAATTAAATGAAGCCACGGATGCCTTATATTTAATTTGTACTTTTATAAATTTTGAAGATTTACAAAGGAAAAGCAACTCTCTCAAAAAATTCTCAAGATAGTAATAAAGTTTGTGCTTTTTAACATGGCACATAAAACAAAATGAAAACCTACTTCATTTTGATAATTCAGGGCCCTGAAATTTTAAATATATCAAAATAAATATGGGTGTTTCAATTATAACTTGGTATTGAATAATCACTGAAAGAATTTGGTGAGGGGAGCAACTAAACTCCTAGAACCAAATTACATCAGAGAAAATAAAATAAATTTCACCCTAATATTTCCAATCTTCAAACTGTATCATGTAAATTTCTTTACAAAATTTAAGATTCACCCTACTATGGAATTATTTCTAGTACACATGTGCTAGATTCACTTAATTCCAAGATCTTTAAAGTTTACATAGCAACATGGCATAGCAACACTGACCAGTAAGGTTTCACATTCTTTTAAATCATATTTCAAGAGTTAATACTTCTATTTTCTTTTTCTATTCAAGGTAACATAATTATCCTAAATAGAAATGCTGTAATATCAAAGATATTTTAGTTAGCAAAATCAAACATGTATGTTTGGGGGTTTTTGTTGTTGTTTTACTTTTTATGCTGTTTATTTTTTGCTTTTTATACTACCTATGAGCAACTATTTCACTATGTTAGATGGATTAAACATTATAGTCACTGTTCTCCTATATAAAATGTTACAAAACAGACATCTTGAGGGAATCTGAATATATAATCCTGGATCATAATATGGGTTTAGGCCCATAACATGGAAAAGAGAACATGAACTGGGTGATATAATCAGAATTGAAAAGATTTTAGTAAACACCACCCAAACCTTTATACTGCAATACTGACCTTAAAATACTGATAACAATCCACTAGATTCCAGTAACCTTCTGGAAGGTAGCACACAATATTATTTCTTAGAGCTAGAATAAATGTGGCAGAAAAGCCACAGACTAGAAATCAAAAGCCTTAGATTCTCATTCTGCTCCTTCCAGGGCTGTATGTGCAGGGCAAGTTGTTCTATCTCTAAGTTTCAGTCTCCACAGTAAATAACCCTTATAGCTCTTAAATTTCATGACTGTAATTATTTGTTATACTGCTCATCAATATAAAGGGCAAAAACCATATATCTCAATTTTCCCTAGGAAATCTCTAAGGAAGCCAAGGTTCTTAAGACACAGAAAACTGAGTAACAAATTCTATGTTCAAAACAGAAAACAAAATTTATCTATCTATATAAACAGAGATCTTATAGCTGCTTCTTAAGATTTGATAATCCTCCTTGGACTCTTCCTCAAAAAAGCCCCTCATGCTAAACCAGTAGTAAGAAAGTCAGATAATTTGTGTAGTTAAGAGCTAGTCAATCAGTACAGAAGAATCACTCTATGTTACTTGGAAATATACAACTTCTACACAACAAAGCTTAAGACAGGATGGAAGAGTACTTAAATATTTTAATGTACTTAAATGGGGAAGAGGTAATAAAGCAAGCAGCATGACAGAAGAAACTTTATCAGGGTATACATCATAGTAAATGTAGCACAAAGGAAATGCAAATTTAAAGAGAACCCTTAAGAAACAATAAAACAACAATATTGAGTAAGCATAAACCAAAAGATGGTAGTCAAACACTTGACAATAAATTCATAAACCACCGCCAAAGCTTGAAGTATGGAACAAGGACTAGGGTAGTAAGGAAAATGCCACTGATTCTTTTTGGAATGGTGACTATATGTGCTCTAGCTTTAACCTATATCCACTCCTACTACAGACTATGAATGTCATCAGCAAACCCACTGAACCTGCAGACACGGAAAGGTAAATGGAGTGGAGGAAAGCAGCAGTGAAGAGGAGAAACAGAAAGTCACAAAACAACATATACAAAGTACCATTAGTTTGGGATCTTGTAGGATGTATTGTGGTAGATGTAAGTCAAACAAAAGGGAAAGACTGGGGGCACCTTTCTCCCCACTCTCAACTCAAGACTTGAGGTTCACTGGGATTCCTGTTGACTGACAGCGGTCATAAGTCTTCCAGTCTTACAACACCTGGTCTCCTCCACTGGCTTTTGCAGCCACGCCCACAGAGGAGGCTGCTTATGAGGTAATAAGACTGTGCTTATTATAGGGTGTACGTAAAAATCCACCTGTTATTCTGAGTCACACATGTATTCTCAATGACTTCAGCTTTGAATATGTAGCATACAAACTGATAAATATGCTCAAAGCAGTTAAATTCTGGCGGGGAGTAATTAGTTTTTCTAGTTATTACATTGAATCACTAGAGGTAATGTTGTAACAGTAATTTCTGAGATAATCACAATTAGTTAAATTTCTAGAGCCCAGTTTGACCCACACATTCATGACTGCCTCATGAATCCATCTTCTTCCACTGAAATAAATTAAGAGTTAGTCTTCATCTGTTCCAACCACAAAGAAAGGTTAACTTTAAAATGTGTAAGTAAAGTATATGAGACATTCAAAGTAAAGAAATTATTTCATTTAACTCTAAAAGGACTAACAGAAGGGATACTGCTTCCCATCAGGTTCATGTGTTCTTAGAAGTCAATCTAAATTCCTACTTAATCCAGACAACTGTAATGGAATTTTGTTTCTTTTTTGGTAGTGGGGATTGAATCTAGGGCCTTCATACTAAACTTTTTTGAGATGCGGTCTAGCTATGTAGTTCAGGCTGGCCTTGAACTCACAGCGATTCCCCAGCCTTAGCCTCCCCAGTGCCAGGCTTACAGACATGTGCCACCATATCCAGCCTTTGAATAATTTGTTTTGAGACAGCATTTTGCTAAATTGGCCAGGATGGGCTTGAACTTGCAATTCTCCTGCCTCAGCTTCCTAGAGAGCTGGGATTACAGAACTGAGAGACCATACTCACTCCTGATACAGATTTAATACAAAAATTTGGCTGTGTCCATCCACTACAAATTAAAACTCCTAAATCAGTTCAGTGAATTTCTAATTATGAAATTACTATTTTGCCCCAGGACTTTAACTGGAAATGTTTTAACCCTTGAATTTTCCTTTTACCCTAAGTTAAATAAAATTATTTTAAAGGAAAAAAAAGATTCTCTGACTCATAACCTTTCTCTTCTGTATTTTGCAAAGATAGCCACAAGATCAATTTTTAGAAAAGGAGCCTCAAAACAGAACGTGCTGTTATTAAAAATCTGGATCCAATTTACCTGAAGGAGAGCCATGAGCTGAGGACATATTTTTGACCTTGGAGTCTGACAGTCGAGAGATACTGTTAGCTCTAATTCTAGGAGAAAATTTATCGGATGGTACTAATCTGGCTCCACTTCTAATGATGGCTTCTGCTGTACGCGAAGAGGCACTACTTCTAGATATTGTTGCTTCAGAGTCACTACGAGCTGACAATGAGCCAAGCCTTGTTCTACGCGGCTGAGCCAATAAATCAATCCTAGATATATTCCGTCTTCCCGTGGGTGGTTTGGATGTTGAACTTGTTGTGGATACTTCAGAAGCAACAGATGCTTTGTCAGCATCAGCAAGTTCACTGTCTGAAGCTTCACCAAGTCGTGCTCTGCGCAAGAGGGAAGTCCTGGTAGGTCGTGGCCTTGGAAGAGTGGTTGATTTACTGGATGAACCTGATGCTACAGGAGAAGTCTTAGATCTCGTTCCTTTACCTCCTTCCAGTTTGGAATGTACATGCTCATCTGTTGAGGTAAGTGGAGTCCTTCCATGAGATTTACAAGAGTAAGTTTCCTGATCAGATGACATAATATCAGAGATAGCAGAATGAGGTACACTGGAGGTTTGGTCATCATCTGTTAGGTCAACTGAAGGCTGCCTTATTCTTCCACTGGATTGTACAAATTTACGACCATCTGCTCTTGAACTTACATCTGCGGAACGGCTTTTGGTTTTCTTTTCAACTTTCTCCCTAGCACATGAAGATGATTTTGTAACATCTTTGGAAGGAGAACTTGTGGAACACCTATCTTTATAGAGGCTAGTGAAACTCTTTCGCTTTTGAGTTGACTTTCTTTCAGTCTCTCCAGTAACCAAACTGATTGTACTGGCTGTATCCACATCAGATTCTGGTGAAATAGAATTATCTCTGTTGTAACTGGGAGTGTCTGGGCCTTCATCAGTTTTATCTTCTCGAAGTTTAGCTTCTAGAAAAGCCATTACTGCTTCTGTGTCTTTTAGAATAAGGGTTGTGTCCATACTAGAATCAGTATCCAAAGAGTCACTTCTTTCTCGTAATCTACTTGCAGGTGCTAAAGCTACAGGAAGAGTAGATGAAGTCTGTTTATTTATATGGGGGATGAGTTCTATAGGTATGTTTGGGGTAGGTTTTTCTATAGTGAAGCTCCCCTGTCTCACTAATGACTTGGAGGATTCCTTCTTATCTCCTTTAGAAGTCTGACTTTTCAGAGTTTCTTCAGCCTTTCTTCTCTTGCTTTCATTTTGTATCACTCTTTCTCCTTTGCTAGTACAGTGCTCTGGAATTTTTTCTGGAGGTTGGGACTCTTGTTTAGAAGAATCCTCCCTACATTTATCTATCTGACCTAAAACATTTTTTGAAGATAATTTAGTTGGTGTCCACTGGGCCTGCTCCTTTTGTTCCTGTTGTTGCTGGATTTTAGCTAATGTCTGCTTCACCAAAGAAGCTTCCTTATCAGTTTCATTCTTCTCCTTCCCAGGAGAAGAGTTGGCTACCTGAAGCAGGGTTTTATTATCTCCACTGTTTTTAAGAGTCTCACCATTTACTGCCCTGCTCATCTTATTCAGGGCTCTGTCAGCATCTTGTTTGTCTTTCTGGTATACCTGTGCAGGTGTTTCCTTCTCCTGCAGTTCTGTGTCTTGCTTCTCTCCAATCTCTGACCTCTGAGTTACAACCTTGACTCTGGAGCTCTCAAGAGACTTTTCTTCATTTGGAAGCTGAGGAAGAGTTCGTCTCCTTCTCTCTCCCTGACTAGCCAAAGAAGTTGCAGAGCCAGTACTTCTCAGAAAAATGCCAGATTCACTGATTCCTGTCTCTATTAAAAAACAAAAACAAAAATTAAGGCAAAAGGGTATCATATTATATTGGGTAATGAAATAAGTAAAAAATGACTGAATTATAAAATAAATGAACCATCATTGTGACTAACTGGTTTTAAAAGCATTATACTTCCAAAATGCACAAATTTTATTTTATTTTTATTTTTTGGTTTTTGAGACAGGGTCTCACTATGTAGTTGAGACTGACCAGGAACTCACTATGTAGACCAAGCTGGTCTCGAACTCACAGCAATCCTCCTGCCTCAGCCTCCTGAGTGCTGGGATTACAGGCGTGTGCCACCACGCCCTGCTAAAATGCACAAATTAATAATCTATTTATAGAGGATTCAGGAAAGCTAGTGTATGAGATGGCTAGAGTCATCTGAACATCTTTTTCCTTTAATATATTTATTTTTAAATTGACAACTGTATATATTTATGGTATACAACATGATGTCCTGAATATATATATAGAGAGTGGAATGGCTAAATCAAGCTAATAAACACATCCATTACCTCATATTAAACATTTTTAGGTGGGTGGTAAAGCATTTAACATTTACACTTTTAGCAATTTCCAAGTATATGATTTATTGTTATTAACTACAGGAACCATGGTGTATAAAGGTCACCTGATCTTAAATCTGTATCTAGTCGTTCTTCTTTCTTTTATTTTATAGCAGCCAAGTTCACCATGTTTATTTGTTTATTTTTAAAAATTTTTTGGTGGGTACCAGGGATCGAATTTGGGTCCTTGCGCATGCGAGGCAGGTGGCAGGACCCCTGAGCTAAATCCCCAGCCCACTATGTTAATCCTTGCTTTTGTAACTTTCTCTCCTTAAGTCTGTTCAAAGAGCAGAATCTATATATATTACAGAATTACATAAACAATATTGTTTATTTCCTATAATTTCAAAGACATAATAGAGAAAAATAATGTATCTAGTTTTTATTAAAATTACTGATTACTTGGAAAGAGTAGGTTTATTAGATTTTCTAAGTAAAATGGAAAATGCAGAACTTAAATAATTTTTTTAAAAATTCAAACCTGATTAAAAGAATATTAAAAAAAAACAGTAAAAATATAGGTGACAGATAATGGCATAATTTTACAAGCTAAGATTTTTTTTTTGGTACCCGGTACCCCAGATCGAACTCGGGACCTTGTGCTTGTGAGGCAAGCAGATCCAACTAAGACCCAACTAAGAGATTTTTAAATCATCTTCTCACATAGTAAGGTCACTTACAGTAATATATGACCACTTTCTTTTTTTCAAGTAAGTAGAACCCAATGGAAAAAAATTGTAGTTTGATGTTTCCACGTGAGAGAATTTGAGACAACTTGAAGAGAATGTTCCTAACTATTAAAAATAGAAAGTACTTCTGAGAAAAATGAGTCTTTTCAGGGAAATATAACTATATTAATTAATATATAAGGCATCCTAATCTCTTAGGGATAAATATAAAAATACACTAGATAAAGCTTCTGAAGGTCTTTTTACACCCTTGATAATCTAACAATTTACCATTTAAACTTCATAGCAATACAATGGTTGCAATATAAAAAACACTGATTTAACCTTAACCACATTATACTTTATTTTATTTATTCTTGCATGCATGTCTTGTGTCTTTAGGGCTAACTTTAGTGCAATAGTTATTTTATTTTTTTAACTTTCTCTAGTATTTCCTACTACTCTGCTAGAACATACACCTAATGTATGTTTAACAAGAGTATTTTAGGTAATTCTTAAGTCGATTTATCTACTTATCTAAAAAAATTCATTTACAACCAGATGAAACACAAATAACATCACAAAAGTGTTATATTATTTTTTATGATGAGTGCAGAATTTTGCTTCTCACATATAACTCTTAATAACTTTCCTATGGGTCCTCTCATATGTTTCCTAAATAGTGTGCAGGTTGTGTGAAACAACCTGCCAATGATTCTGCTGCCTCCAGAGATTTTTGGTGATATTATCAACTACTACTATTTTCTATGGTAAGTAAGTAAATACTGTACTGTGAAGTAACTTTCCCTTTTTAATTACATAATTTTTACAACAGATATTGGGGTACCACAAGGCAGAGAGAAAACAAATTTCATTTCTAGTAAGAACAAAGTTACAAGTACAGACAAAAAGCCACATATAAATATTCTCTGAGGGTCATCTTTTTAAAGTTTTTTTCTTTTGAAGGGGAGACCATAAATGAGTTTTCTTTGAATTAAAAAAAATTAAGCATAAATTAACAATTTATAACTGTATGTACTTATAGGGAGGCGGTAATAAAAGATAGGACTTAGGAATACAATATGTGAAAAAAATCAGTATTTCAAATTAATAATTTATATAATATAGGTAATTTCATACATATATTTCATCTATAAAATGTCTTCAGGCTGGCATTACACTTTGGGAGATGTATACCATCAATCAAAATAAATTATATTATTCTAAGATATGCAAATACCAAAAAGGTAGAACAAGTTTTCATTTAAAAGCAAAACCACAAAGTTTTCAAACCATTCTTGAATAGTGGAAATTTATACCTCAATAAAAAAAAGTGCCTCAGAATGAATTACTAAATCCTAGGAGGTGTCCGTTACTCTAGAACATTTCAATTTATTAAGCACATAAAACCTTTTAATGAAGAAAAGATGTTTGTGGCTGAGTGTATATAGTTCAGTACCCAGTGCTTGACAGCATAGCATGAAGACCTGGCTTTGATCCTCAGTGCCACAAAATAATAATTTATAAAATCTAATATTTGGACATTTTTCACTCTTTAAAATCCCCTACAATATAGAATATCTAAAAAAAAATCAGCTTTTTACTTGTAAAAAATGTGTATTACAAACATGAGAATATGTGAATATATTTATGTTTAATTTACTTCTCATTATACAGATTTACGTTTTAAAAAACCAATTTATGAATTCACAAAAAAGAAAGAAGAGGTAAAGACAGAGGAAATATACCATTTTCTAAAGGAACAGGTGCAGACAATTCCATTCTTTCTTCCTGATCACGCCTTGTATGATTAGCAGCCAAACTAGCCCACTGTGATACCCAACGTTTGCTTCCAGATGAAGAGGTCCCCTCCTAAAGGAGAAAAATAACAGAATTAAAGCGTGCCATCTGATCAAATCATATTCTCACAAGAGAATGTCTTTCAGTTACACTAATATGTCATACAAAGCCACTGCTAACTCCATTATATATTATTAAATTTCCTCATATATACAATAAAGACTAAATATCCTTTTAACTACAACATTTTATTACTAAAGTATAATTTTCTGTACTTCTTAAATACAAACCACAGTAGCAAATAAATTCTTTGAGCTAAAATTTACCAGGTTGCCAGACAGGTGTAGGTATGTATCTCAGCTTTGTGACTAGACCAGTAGGAGTTTGTTCTATTACATTATAAGGAACAGGGAGTCTAAAGGCCTATTCCCAAGTTATTCACTAGGTTTCTAAACGTCTCCAGGAAGTCAGATTCATTCCTGGGTCTCAGTATTAAATCTGCTAGATCACATTTTTAGGGATTTCAAAAACCCAAAGCTTTAAACTTCTCTCTATAATACTTCAACATTTCCAAAAGCTACAAATCATTCAATCTTGATGTATCAGTCTGAATGTAGACCTGCTTGTGTTTAGGTATGTCTTTAAGTGCTTTATAAAACCTTATAGTTAAGAGTGAAACAGAATCTTTCTGTTTCCTTGGAATTATGGGCATACACAAGTAATTCTTAAAACCAGGGTAATTTAGGCATCCAAGTTAGAAGACTTAGGAGTGCAGAAAAAACTATATATATTACTAAAAATGATACCTCTCACTAAAAATTCAAGCCAGCTTCATAATGAAATGGAATGACAATTAAAAAATGGAAAGCTATGAGAAGTTTATTTTAAACGGTTCAAAATAAATCTTTCATTAAAAGTATCAGATTTACCATATTAAGGACTAACAGCTAAATACTGATAAAGATTTCATGTCCTTTGCACGTTGTATAATTTCAGAAATGGGCTTAAATAGCAAGTAAAGAGAATGAAATGCATACAGTGAAGCCTGAGAGACACCAAAGCCTGCTGCTGAACCTTGAGTTACTTTCTAAAGTTTTGTGGTACCTGCCACCCAAGTTTCTCAGGACTTAAGGAGGTATCAGGCCATGCTAAAGATATCTACAATAGGATGGGTTTCACTGACAAAAAGAACCATTCTGTAAAGTATTATAATGGCCTGTTAGATAATTTCTACAAAAGAGAGAATACACAGCAGTTATATAAAACTTTATTTGCTATGGATTAAAGAAACAGAAAAGAAAGGAGAGTGTCTCTTTAAATTCGCATTTACAAAAATCCTTCCTTAATAAAAATATGAATACACTACCTCAAATAACTATCACTTGCTTTCAATAAACAAACATTTTGAAAAACAGAAACCAGAATAAAATATCTCCAAATCAAGGAGGAATGAAAAAACAGTAAAAATAGTGATTGTTTTGAAAGTTTTCAGGAAATGGCAAACTACAGAGACATAATTTTTAATACCAATAAACAAGCAAATAAGTATATTTACTGCTCTAAAAATATTCTGTATATACTTATACAAATAAAATATAAAGTATCATAATTTTCTTTTATTCATATTTTGTATATATTTACATCTATATAAATCATACATATGTATTTTTCCATCTACATAAATCAGCTCTTTTCACGAAGGGCAGTACAGCACTAGGAGTAGAGAATTAATATCAAGGTTGCTTAGGATTCAAATTCTTGTTCCACAAGCAAGTAAAACCTTGGCCAAGTTCATTTTTATGGACTTCAGTTTTCTTCCTTGTGAAATAGCACAATAAAAAGTTCTATCAAATGTTAGCTCCTATTAAATAATAATATTTCTGACCTGTGTGTGTGTGTGTGTGTGTGTGTGTAACATTTCCTTTTGATGCATCAAAGAGTAGTGAAATTTTGGTGCCATAGCTATCCTAACCAAGGCTTCCTTAATTAATCTTTTATTCTAAATATATCCAGGGCTGCATTAAATGGCACTTATTGAAGCATGTAAGTTACATCTACCAGACAGTACCTTTCACATGTTTTCTGGCATGAAAGATCTTCCATTTCCAAACATATTCTTCCTAAAAAGTATATAGCAGTATATATTTCTTGTTTTGTCTCATAATGCTAATCAGAACAATGAGCACACAGCTTTTAACTGCTTTCTAAAATATTTTCCTAACAAAGAATATTAATTCAAAATAGCATAATAAAACCCAAAAACCTAAGCCAAAATTGCTCCAGGCTTTCGTTAGAAATTAAAAGTCTAAGAAAATCTAATTTTGGGCTGGGGATTTAGTTCAGTGGTTCCACCGCCTGCCTGGGAAGCAGGAGGACCCGAGCTCAATCCCTGATACCAAAAACAAAAAAAAATTCTAATTTTTAAAAGTATTTCACAAGGGGATATGCAGCAATTAAGTAATGTAAAAAAGTCATCTTATGCATATAAAAAGTGAGATATGAAGTATACCTCTGAATTGTGAAATCCAGATGTACTCAGTGGCTTTCTTTCTTCCATTACTATGGCAGCAGAACTGAGAGCCCAGTCTTTTATCAGATCTTTATGCTTTTTCTTGATGACAGGCCTATTATAATCTTGACTGTCATCTACTCCAAACACCTAGAAGAAAATATTATTCTATAAATGAAAAGCTGAGCACTAGATTAATATGCAAATATTACTATTAACTTCAAAGGCAAGTAAAAATATTCTAAATTAATAGGTAATTTCAATAAAAAGGAAAATTTATTTAAAGACAAGGAGTTCACCCTGGAGTGGTTAAGCGGAAAAAAAACAAGTGTTTTTGATTTATGTCAGTGTGACCACCCTTTTAAAATAGCAAATACACTGACTGATAAAAATAACAAATATTCAGGATATATTTGATTTGTTAAAACATCAAATAATGTTGTTAAATATTCCAATAGAGCAAAGAGTTATGAAAGAGTATCTCTAGAGCTTGATTTCAACCTATTTCTTTGTTCTATTATTTTTGCAAAGGCATGGTGAAAGCCTATAGACACATGAGGTTTTCTTATTTGTTCTTCCCCCATCAAATGTTATACATGTACTTTTCTAAGGTGCCAAATAACAGATACAACTGTACTATCTTGGTATAGAGTATAGTATTATTCTCAAACTTTATCTAACAGTCAAATAACTAACTGTTTAAATGGAGATCTCAGGGCCTACTGACAAACAGTAGCTTTTTCAATAAGGCTAGTATTAATGGTCAACATTGCTAACCAGTTCTAAATACAGAAGCAAAGCATGCCTGCAATCCCATCACTCAAGAAGCTAAAGAATGGAGTTGGAGCCCAGCCTAAATAGCTGAAAATAAATAAAGTAAGTAAGTAAGTGAGGCTGGGGATATAGTTCAGTGAGTCCCTGGGTTCAATTCCTAGTTTGCAAAAACAGAGACTAATATTCATATATTTTTTAAATCAGGGAAGCCCTCAGTCTTATTCATTTCCAGACACATGAAAGGCACTGGATATTACCAAATATACTGGAAAAAGCATTAGTCCCTGTTATGGCTTGTCCCCCCGAAAAAACCTCAGTAGGTGGAGCTTTTCTGAGATGGCTGGATCTATGCTGTGTGATGCTGGGATTTAGTGTGTAATACTAGGATTAAGTGTGTAATGCTAGGATAAAGGGTGCCCCAATCAGGGTGTGGATAGCATCAATTAATAGGCTTACAGACTGGATGGACTATAAAGTTTCAGAAAGAAGGCTCTGCTTCGTTGCTATTGCTACTTTGTTATTTTGCTGCCTTCTGCCTTCCCTGCTTAGTACAGACTGTTTCTCCTCTGCCATGCTACTCTACTTTGGAGGTAGCTGACTATGGACTAAAATCTCTACAAGCTATGAACAGAAATAACACTCTTCCTCCTTTAACTTTGGGTGTGGGGTATTTTGCCTCAGCGACAAGAAATATGACAGCCACATAACATTTTAAAATTCTATCTTACTATTAAGTCTCTACTTGGTTCCAATGCTTGTTCTATATAGCTTTTTACAATTAAGAAAAATAGGACCTAAGGTATAGATCAGCATTAGAGTGCTCGCCTAGCATGTGCACCAAGTTTAATTCCCAACAGTTTTTTTTTTAAAAGCATCTGATTTAGTAATTTGTAGAAAGGATATCTAGAACATAACCAAAATAAGCCTCCATTTTCTGTACGGTAAAAAAAAACCTAAGATTAAAATATTTCCTAGAAAAAAATTAATAGTTACACAGTATTAGCCAGGCATGGAGGCACATGCTTATAATCCCAGCACTCTGGAATATTGAGGCCTGGCCTGGGAAATTTAGCAATTTAGAGAGATATTCTCTGAAAATAAAAAATAAAAAATGAGGCCAGGACTGGCTGCGTATGAAAGCCCTGAGTTCAATCTCCAGTATGGGGGGATTGGGAGGGTGAGGTATCTGATAAATTCTGAAGTCGACATTTAGTAAAGTAGGTACTGGATTTCTAAATTCAATAAAACTTGAAAATTTTATCACTAGATGGCCTTATTACTTAATATTTATTCATTTCATTAATTTTTAAAGCAAGACTTTATGTCTATTATAGTTAGGATAAGAAACATGCTCTGCAGAGTGACTTTGGACCAAGTAAATGCAGGAAAAGAAGTACACCTTACAGGGCTGGGGATTTAGCTCAGTGGTGCCACCACCTGCCTTGCAAAGCACAAGGACCTGAGTTTGAACTCTAATATAAAAAAAAGAACAATACCTTACAGTGTGAAACTGGGCTACTATGAAAGAATGCAGTAGCAAATTTCTTAATATTTAATACAAATATAAGTATTTTTAAGGATTATGATTTAACAGTCTGTTAAAATATTCAATATTCCATTATCTTTGCTTTAAGAGCAAACTATATGATTAACTTTAAATCAGATATAAACAAGAATACTGCATTTTGCTAAACATTAAAATAGGTTTAACAGCAGCAATTTCAAAAATTCAGTATGCCTGAGTCCTGTGACTATAATCCCATAAATAAAGCAAATTACAGCTATTCAAATGATGTATGTTTCCAAAAAATTAGTCATTTCTCACTCAAACCTTTGAACTACAATTTTATTGATAGTTACATCTTTACGATTACTAAAAAAGTAAATCTATCTGAAGTTTTAAATTAGAATATAAAAAAACTACATAAGGTTACTTTTACATCTCTTTGGCATGTTAATTTAGAAATTACTTTAAGTGATTTCTGGACTTGTTGATATTTAATTTTAGTCTGTAGTCAAACCTTGATTTCCTCAAACATCTAAGCACTAGAAATTTCAAATAAAACATAGCTAACGTCTCCAAATCACTTCTGATATTATTTTGTAATGACAACAAAAGACACACAGAGAACTATGCTTGGAGAAGGAAGCTGACTTTGTAAAGAAAATCCTCTGATGACTTCCTACAGATTCCTGAGAAAGAACTGATGACAGCTGTACATATACCTATGTGTGAGAGAAGTAACTGTTATTTCTTCTCTGAACAAGTGGTAAGTCAGAAAGACTATTATACTAGGAAAGAAGTATTCAGATTTTACATCTATATTTTATAGCATTTGAAAAATGTATGATAGCCATGATTATCAGTTCAGCTTGAAATATACAGCCATTCACGTCTATATCCAGGTACACAAACATCCATGTGACCACTTTCACGTGAAAAAAAAATATACTGACTACATACTTTAAAGCTATTTTACACACTTAAAATACATACAATCAGACATATGATCTAATAATAACTGATAGAACCCAAGAGCTCCTCAAAGCCAAGGAACAAGTTTTATCAATTTCTCTGTCTTTTTCATTGTAAATTCTTTCCTGAGGTGACTTCATCCACATACAAGGCTTCACTTCAATTAGCAACTACAGAGACAGTTGCACCTGTCATCCCTCCTCCTGGATGGTTCAAAATATTTCAAATTCTAGTCTCTTCCCCACCAGGGCCAGGTCTAAATCAAAACCCCAAATGTCAATCTGGGTCTCTCATCCAGTCCTGACATCTTTAGGCTCTAGCCTACAGTGGAGAAGGAGATGAGATGGCTGGATAGCCATCTAATTTTTATATTTCCTCTCTACTAGAACCTTGCATCCCAAGTTTTTCAGGTAGTTTCTAATTTTCACAGAATAGAGAAAAAGGAAGTAGGGATGGTACAAAAATAAAAATTTCTTTGTGAACTTGCACTACAAGAGCTCTCTGGGGTCTGACTGTTAAAAAAATAAGTCATTTGTTTTAAGAATACAGCTCTCGCTCAGTAACACTTCCTTCTCCATTCTAAGAATCAGGGAACCTGTTCTCAACCTTGACTTTTGAATATGTGCATAGAGTATTCAGTATCTCACACTGAGATTTCACATCTGTATATCAGTGGCTACTCCAAATAATTTGGACTTCTTACTGAAGTATGGTAGATACTTCCTAACTATGGGTTAACCTTTTACAGGGACTTTACAAAACTGTATGTGTTATCCCTTGCTCTAAAGATTAAACCTAACCAAAGAATCTAAAATAAGGAAGGTCACCTGAAAGAACCACGCAGGCGTAGCCTGTACTAAAAACTATACTTCCATAATAACCAGACTGTATTTTTAGATTTTGGGTTTTAAATTTAAAGAAACTAAACATTCTCCAGAAAACATACAAACACGGATATTACAAACCAAGCCTAGGAAAAATTTCACCTTGATTTCTTTCATGACCATTTTATTTTCACCTTTGCCATTATCATTTCAAAGTTCATTCTGTACAAATTCCATAGCTTCCAATTCTAAAATATGAATGGGTGGGAGTGGGAACAGTGGTACACCAGACCTTCCACGAGAGTGTGTATTTTACCTACTGACTACTTGCAAAGAGGTAAAAAATACATTAGTAATAACACATCCTGGAGGCTTTACTGTGACAGGAAGTAGAGGCCAACAGGTAAGACAAAGTGAGGAGCAAGACTGAACATCTAAATATGGCAATACAAATACAGAGCAAAATTTTAAACAGCAGCAGTCCCTTATTAGATTTAAATATATCCAAGTTAGGGGAAATCAGAATTAACTTTCCCGTGAAAATGAAAAGGAGAGCATAAATTAAATAGCAAGCTTCTGCAATTTATTTTGAAACAGCAAGTGAAGGCATATCAAAGTGGCAAAGTAAAAATGTAATCAAGTTTTGGTCTCAGGTGACAAGAACCTCTCTCTCCACAAGGAATAAGGACCTCCTAGTTAAGAAGAGCAGTTCAAATCAGTAACAGAGGTTTCCACGTCCTACAAAAATAGCAACACATAATTATAGAACAGTGATGTAGAATTCTAGCCACTAATGTCAAGGAACCAAATCAAGATGATTTAAGAGGAAGATTTTTTTAAAATTTCAACATTCTATAAACATCTAACTTCATTTTCAAAAAGAGAAATCCCTTAAATTAAATTGAATAAACTAATGATTATGAATAATGTGATTTTTAAAAACATATTTCTAATCAACTTTTAAAATATACAACTGTGAGAAGAAAGAATGCAGAAAAGAATTAGAGATGTTAGATAATTTACCATAGTGCACATCTTAGTAAATGTACATCCACGTTCAGAGTAGCATTATTTAC